GTACCCACACATGGTGCCCATGCACAGTGCCCATACCTGGTGCACATACCTGGTGCCCACACCTGGTGCCCACACATGGTGCCCATACCTGGTGCACACACCTGGTGCCCACACAGGTGCCCATGCACAGTGCCCACACATGGTGCCCAACATGGTGCCTATGCACAGTATCCATACCTAGAACTCACACTTAGTGCCCACACATGGTTCCCATGCACAGTGCCCAAACATGATGCCCACTCCTGGTGCCACACAGGGTGTCCATGCACAGTACCCACACATGGTGGCCACATCTGATGCCCACACCTAGTGCTCACACATGGTGCCCACCATGGTGCCCATGCACAGTGCCCACACATGGTGCCTATGTGCAGTGCCAATACCTGGTGCCCACACCTAGTGCCCACACATGGTGCCCACCATGGTGCCCGTGCACAGAGCCCACACACAGTTGCCGTACATGGTGCCCATGCACCGTACCCAAACATGGTGCCCAAGTGCAGTGCCTCTGCCTTACTTGCTTGACCCTCCAAGAGGGCCCCGGAGGCCAGAGGCTCATCCCAAAGCCCCCAAAAAGTAGAACGAGGTCCTGGGTTGGGCCCTCGCAGGGCTTTCCGGGGGGTCCCAGTCAGGGCGTGGGGACTGAACCATTGTGAGTACAGGAGGGATGGACTCCAGCATCCTGGGGCTCCTGGTCTCTGCCAAGGACGTCCCAGCAGGACGCAGCCAGAGACTGCGTGAAGAGTCAGCAACAGCCACTGCCCAGCTGCCCACCCCCGGCCGGATGGCTCCAGAGCCGGCAGCTGGGCTGCAGGATAACTCACAGCCGATCAACTGCTGGTGAGGATTTCACCTCTCCCCTAATTCCCCCGTCCACCACGGGCGGAGGTGGCTCTAAAGCAACCTAAAGCCATGACCAGAGGATGGTCCAGCACAGAGGGACTCAGTCCACTCTCCTCACCAGCACAACACAGAGGGACCCTGGTTGTGGCCTCGGCCACCAGCACCCCCCCCCCCCGTCTAGGACAACACGGCCTCCCGGGGCACCCCCGGCTGCCCAGGGACCTGCTGGAGGTCGAGGTGGGCATTCTTGACCGCGTCCAGCCACACAGGTTCCCCACAGGAACCTCACACTCAGAAAGTCAAAGGCTGCTTAATGAAAAGAATCTGGGCAGGGCTGGGGCTGGCTCAGCGGTAGAGCGCTCCCCAGCACCTGCGAGGCCCTGGGTTCGATCCTCAGGTATTGTGTCAACTACAACTAAAACACAAATATTGAAAAAGAAAAGAGAAGAATCAGGGACCAGGGCTGTGCCTAAGGATGCTCCCAAGGCTGTCAGCGGCTGCCCAGACTGTGTGGAGGGGAGGGGTCCGAAGGCCGCGAGACCTGGCGGCTGGCAGGGGCGACGCTTTCTCCCACCCACCGTCCTACATTTTCCAGTGTCTGCAACACCTACAGCGTTCTGTGGAAGACACTGCCCTGTTTGGCATCTCCCCTGGCCTTTGAGGTAAGCGCTCCCCATGTCACAGCCATGGGCAGGGCCACCTCCGGGTCACAAAGTAAAGAGGGAAGGGCCTCGCTCCAGGGTCACCGGAGGCCATAAACCCTGTGTCCCACACCACACCACCATTTAACAAAATCAAACAACGCAATAAAGGAAGAGGACCATAAAGACAGACGTCAGTCGTGCGGATTTTCAGCCACGTCCAGTCCGCAGTCCCAAGGGGGCGGGGAGCCCGGGTCCTGGGTGCCGACTCAGGCCTGAGCCTGGACCTGGGGAGAGGCAGGGAGGCCCCCCTGCATTCCAGTCATTTCTCCAGGCCACACTAGGGCCGTGGCTCACAGACGTGGGCCCCAAGGAGCTCTGAGCTGGCTCTGGGTGCCCTCCTGGGGACAATGACCTCAAGACAGCAGGTCTCCCACAGGGTGTCCTCAGAGCAGACAGGGGTCAGACTCATCAGCCTCTGGCCAGTTGGGAGACAGGGCCAGGGGTCCCCAAAGGAAGATGAGGGTGGCAGGTGGGTGCAGGAGCCTGCACAGGGCGCCGGGGACCTGGCCTCCAATGCAAACCCGCCTCCGGGTGTCCGGGCCCAGCTCCCAAGCGTGGACCCAAGCCAGAAGGCCAGAGGTCACTCCCTAGGCTGGCTATTATCAAAGAACAGAAACAGGAGGCAAGGTGGGGAGATGGTGGGAAGGTAAGGTGGGGCCTCTGCGGTGGGCCAGCAGGGCAGCCCTGCCGACGGTCAGATGTGGCCAGCAGCTCCACTGTGGGGCAAGCCCAGAAGAACCAAAACCAGGCACATGAGCAGACAGACGTGGCCAGCCGTGCAGCTGGGTGCTCCCGGGCCTCCAAAGGGAAGGCCGTCCYGACATCTGCTGCCAGCTGGACGGACCCCAGGACACTGYGCTCRGTGAGAGGGGCCAGGCCCAGCAGGACAGACACTGCAGGATCCCAAGGGGCCCCCGCCGCCCTCAGGTCCACAGAGGCAGAGAGCCTAGGGSCCRGGGCTGGAGRGCRGGAGTCAGGGCCGGAGGGACAGAGCTTCAGACTGAGGAGGTGAGGACGCCCTGGAGTGTGAGGGCCACAGCAGGTGAGTGTGCCCAGCGCCCAGGGTGGTCCAGTCGGGAGCCTTATGTCGGTGTATTTTAACACAGTGAAGAAGAGGGTTTCTAGGGGATGGTTGTGGCTCAGTGGCAGAACAATTGTCAGCATGTGTGAGGCCCTGGGTTTAGCACCCAGCACCCTAAAAAATGAATCAACTCATTAAATTCAATTTTTTAAAGAGAGAAAAATCCTTTTAGATAATAAATAAGTGAATAGATAAGTGACCAGGGTGGCCAGTCCCCTGCTGTGACCCCTCGGGGAAGGTGACAGAGCAGGGGCAACTCTGGGGGCAATGGAGTTGGGGGGTCTGCACCTCCACATGGGCGTGACCTCACCACTCCCCCAGGTGCAGCCCCAGGAAGACATCCTTCATGTCCTGTCCCCAGCAGGCCCATCCTCCCGTGACCGCTGGCCACAAGGAGGATCTCAAAGTTCCGAGAGCGTGGGCGATGCCCCTACACCACCACCTCAGAGTCCCCAACAGGTGTCCGTCCACTTCAAACCACGATGACAGACACACCACGTGCCGACCTAGTCACACTTTTATGGAAGATCATCCTGTTTCCGAGACAAAGACGCAGGTGACCAGAGCGCAGCGCCCCAGGGTCTTGAATCCTGGTCATCAGGTTCCTGGCCTGCCCGCCTACGGGGACGCAGGCCTGGGGTGAGGCTCTCTGAAGGGGCRGCCCCAGGGCTCTGGGCAGCCGGGGTCTCCCACGTTCCGTAGGGAGCACTCAGGGTCATGGCCCCGCCAGGCGCACGCGGTGGCTGGGGTGTTCAGAACGCTGCTTTTCACGAGCGAGCACGGACTCACAGGGCACCAGGTCTCAGCTGTGCATCTTTTCGTCCTGGGAARGGCCTAGCAGCGCCCGTGTGGACAGGCGGTCCCTTCCCGTCCTGCAGAGGCAGCTGGAGCACAATGCGGGTGTGAACAATCCTGACCTGGCTGGGCCACGCGGACATGGCCTCCCTCCGCCCTGGGACCGTGTAGGGCAGCACAGCCTGCCCCGCCGAGCCACATGGGGGTCTGTGCCAGCAAGGAAGGGCTGGGGTGGGCTCGGGGGCACAGGCTGGCCCATGCACGAGGTCATGGAGCCATGCCCAGCACCACTAAGGCAGAAGGCTAGCCCTTCTCAGCCTGTTGGGAGAGTCACTGGAGTTCACAGACTTCCCTGAGGAGCTTGGGATGCCCAGAGACCCGCAGGCTGAGACAGGTCATCTCCTGGGGTTCTGCAGGCCAGGTGGAGCCCCAGGAAGTGCTGTACCCAGCCCATTCCCAACTGAAGCCACTGAAACCACCTCCCTGCCACCAAGAGGAGGCCGGGCCACCAGGGCCTCTCCCTGGCCCAGCTCCGTTAGACTCGGCGTCCCTGCCTGGTCACTGGTGGCCTCTCCAGGCACCCACTGCTGGGGGGGATGGGTACAGGGGCAGGGAGGCAGGCGCAGCCCCCAGGCCTGCGAGGAAGCCCGCGGTGCGTGGGCGGGAGACGCCACAGGTCCTTCAAGGAACAAACAGGAGTGCCAGTTCCCGGGAAGGGCCAACAGCTGCAGGCCAGGCGGGGAGGAAAGTCCACCAGGAGGGTCAGCCRCCCACACCAGGCCTCACCACGCCCGGGTTTATGGCCAGGTCCTGTTGCGGGCACAGGTCCAGCACCCCCACCCTTCTTCCTGCCTGCATCTTCCAGGAACCAGCAGGGATAGCAAGAGCCAGGGGACCTAGGATCCAGGAGACCCCAGCTCCTCTGTGTCCAGAGAGGGAGGAAACGGGCAGCTTGTGTGCTGCAGACCACAGGGCTAGGGGCAGCACCACGGGGAGCGGGGCTGGGCAGCAGGGCTGGGGAGCACCACAGGGTGAGGGGCTGGGGAGCACCATGGGGAGAGGGGCTGGGGAGCACCACGGGGAGAGGGGCTGGGGAGCACCACAGGGAGAGGGGCTGGGGAGCACCACAGGGAGAGGGGCTGGGGAGCACCACGGGGAGAGGGGCTGGGGAGCACTACGGGGAGGGGCTGGGCAGCAGGGCTGGGGAGCACCACGGGGAGCACCACGGGGAGAGGGGCTGGGCAGCAGGGCTGGGGAGCACCATGGGGAGCACCACGGGGAGAGGGGCTGGGCAGCAGGGCTGGGCAGCAGGGCTGGGGAGCACCACGGGGAGAGGGGCTGGGGAGCACCACGGGGAGAGGGGCTGGGGAGCACTACGGGGAGAGGGGGGAGCAGTAGGGGGGGAGGGGGAGCACCACGGGGAGAGGGGCTGAGGAGGACCATAGGGAGAGGGGGAGCACCATGGGGAGAGGGGCTGGGGAGCACCACAGGGAGAGGGGCTGGGGAGCACTACAGGGAGAGGGGCTGGGGGAGCACTATGGGGAGAGGGGGGAGCACCACGGGGAGAGGGGGAGCACCACGGGGAGAGGGGCTGGGGGAGCACCATGGGGAGAGGGGCTGGGGAGCACCACGGGGAGAGGGGTTGGGGAGCACCATAGGGAGAGGAGGAGCACCATTCAGAGTGGGGCAGCAAGGGACCCCCCTCCACATCACTCCTGACTCTGGGCTTCTAGGACATCCTCTGGCTCAGGGTAAGTGTCAGGGAGGACAGATGAGGCCAGAGGACCCTGTCACCCACTCTGTGGGTCTGGCCTGTAGATAGAGCTGCAAGGGGGTTCCACCATCCCTCCAGCACCTCACCTTCCAAGTCAGCTGGGAGGAGGTAGGGCGCAGGGTCAGAGGACGAGTCTGGGGATTCCAGGGCTCTAGGCAGGCAGGTCAGGGTGAGGCTGGGTCGGGTAGGACTTGGGGGCTAGACTAACCACGGGGTTTGAGGTGGGTGGGAACTCACAGGGAAGGTGAGAGCAAGGTGTGAGGGTGGGAGCCTGGCTCAGGAACTGAGGCCACATGCAGCCACTCAAGGAGCAGGACCCATTGCCCAGGAGCACAGGGGCAGCATGGTGGGCACCTGGTGTCCACTCCTGTACCCACAGGGCTGCCCCTGGGCAGCTCTGAGGCCTCTGCTAACTGGTTCATAATTGAGGGATGGTTCTCCCAGGGCAGTGGACAACACTGCCTCCACCCGGCTGACTGCTCCCTCTGCTCCGGTCCAGGCGGTCACCAGGGAGACCAGCTGTCCTCAGGCCACACAACAGCACAGGCCCAGGCAGGTGTTGGGTGCCCAGACGGCCTCCCGGCCCTGCCCAGGTAGGGCCTGACATGCAGAGGGGAGAGGCTCTGGGCCACCTCTGTGGTGCCCACCTCCCCAGGGACCACTTCCTGCAGGCCCATCTCTCCCACCAGCTCTTGCAGCTGGCCAGGGAGGGGAAGGGAGGACACGGCTGGGTCAGTGGCCAGAAGCCCTGGGRGCCCCATCAGCCCTCCAGTGCCCTGAGGCAGCTGCACTAAGTGAGAGACTGCCCTGCCAGGGTCTGCAATGCCCACGCGATGCCCACCTGGCATCTCCAAGCCTGTGTGGCCATGCCACCGCCTGGCCCCCAAGGTGCCGCAGGGCTGAGTCTCAGGTGGAGGAGACCTGGCTGCCGGGGAAGAGGCACAGGCCAGGGGGTTGGGGGTGGTGCCAGTTTCCAGAAAGGTCACCTCAGATAGTGGCCTGGGCAGAGGTATRGAGGACCTTCACTGCAGGGCAGGAAGGAGGCCCAGGCCCTGGCAGGGTGGGGTCAGCTCCTAAGGGTCATAGCACCAYGGGGCTGCCCCAGAGGGGCCCCTGCAATGGCAGTGAATTGCAGAGATCCCGGGCCTGGGGTGGAGTGGGGTACCTGCCTGGGACACCCCAGAGTCACCCTGAACAGGGTGCCTGGGAATCTGCCCAGAACCCCCGCCTCTTGGAAATGCCAATGTCCCTGTCGCAGCCCAGGGGCCCAGGGAAGTGCAGCAGCTCCCAGACCCTCAGTGGACACAG